GGGCTGGGCCGAGGGGAGGGGCTGTCGGGTAGGTGGGTGGGGGTGGGGTGGGGTAGGCTGTTTGGCCGTAGGGCTAGGGTGGGGTGTTTGGGGTGTAGGTGTAATGTGCATGGGCATTGGGTTGGGTTGGGTAGGGTGGACGCGGGCTGAGGAGACCCGAGCCCGGGTTGGGATGCGGTGAGTTCCAAGGTACGTAGCCATCATACGGGTGTCGTTGCGAACCAGAGTTTCTTCCTCATCCACGTCCACGGCCGCCTACACCGCGATCGGAGTTGCGCCCCTGCTGCCCGCGACCTCCGCCGCTGCCGCTGTTGTGCCCACTGCCGGTCGTCCCACCGCTGCGCCCGAAACCGCTGCTACTGTCGCCGTATGGTGAGCTGCCGGTTCGGCCAGCTATGAGCGCCGTGCCGGCGTCGTCCATGATGGTTTGTCGTTGCCGTTCAAGGAGCAGGAGAGCGGATCGGGTCTGAAGGAACGTGGGCAGCGGTTGTTGGAATTGCAAGAACGATGTCTCAGCCTGGAGATCGTCGGGTAGCCCACGAAGCATTTGAAGCACAAATTGAGACTCAGAGACCGGAGCGTCAACATCATCCAACCAATCGGCAATGTTTCGCAAAGTTTGACAGTAAGTAGCCATGGTCATCGAACCCTTGATGGTGGTTCGAAACTGGTGCTCGAGTTGCATCGCCCGAGCATGTTTGTTGTCATGAAAGAGAGCATGAATAACCTTCCAGAGTTCAGCGGCGGTGGTGGTGGTGGAGATGACCAGATCTGAGACTTCGTCAGTGATGGTAGAGAGAATCCAACCTTAGATCAGGGCGTCAAGCTGGTACCATTCATCATCATCGGCAGAAGAAGGAGAGGTAGAACCTGAGAGAAAGCCGTGGAGGGTGAATCGGCGCACCAGGAGGAGAAAGAGCCGACTCCACTTTTTGTAGTTGGGCTGAGAAAAGCTGAGCTGATTCGGGACATGAAGCTTGACGTTGGATATTGTTGTGAAGGCAAGATGAGGAGCATTCGAGGAGGAGGAAGAGGTTGAGTTTTCTGAGGCTTTATCAGAGAAAGCCATATTGAGAAGAGAAGGTGCTGTCGTCGCTGAGGAATAACCTTACAATTGCAGATTAATGGCTTACTACAACAATTAGAAGACTTATAATCTCAAGTTGAAATCAAGAAAATTTGAGGTATAAATGTTTTTAATCTAGAGTTCAATTTTGAACCCCTCTTGATAGTAATTTGTTGTATATGGAGTAAAGACTACAGCCCTTACCTCTCCACTCAATCCGAACATGGTTGAGGAAATGTAATTACATTTACATGGTGCTGTCAAGAATTTCATGTTTGAGGAGGCAAGTGTTGTGCACAAAGTAATTCATGTATTAATTTATGAGATGAGCATTTAGTTTTTCATTTAATAATTTGTTCCTAGGTTGCGACAGATACAAGATGAAGACGGTTAGAGTAGAAAAATGTAGTCCTAAAGTTATACGGAGTATTGATTTACTATTATTTTGATCATTAGGCAGTCTATGCTTTAATTCGATTATGACAGATAACTATTTCTTTTGACAATATATTGTAAAAAAACATTATATATACCAATTTTGCAATTGGTTTACAGATCAGATTACAGTACTAACTGTGACCAAATTGATAATTACATTATTCCAACAGTCAAGTGACACCAAGTGACAATCCATATACTCAACTGATCAGTTGCCATTGGTGTTATAATTAGTCATTTGCATTCTTTGAGACCACCAATTTCCTAATTTCCCTCTACATATTTCATTTGGAATAAAAAATGCCAGTTAAAAGAATATTTTTAAACCCTAAACATGGCTAGGCCACTTTTTTATATACATTGTTTCTCTTATTTACATACTCATGTATTTTTTTAAATCCTACCATGAAAGTTTTGACAATCCAAAAGTGTTTGATGAACTCTTGCTTTGCGAGACGTATCCTTTCAAGGTTGAGGTAAATTGAATGTTTTGAAGATTGGTTTGTTTCCTAAATTCATATTTAATTCTTATTTCTCCTTATTTTTTATCATGCATATTCAATTCATATTCTTTAATTATATCTTAATTAGCTACGTATTCCTCAATTGCTTGATTCTATATTGCCTCACATATTTTCTTTTGCTAAGTTCCAACATAATGTTTCTGATTCAAAATTTCAGCATGCCAGAACTTATTTGCTACGTTTATTTTTGTATTACCTTTTCTTTACTTTTAAAGGACACTAATGATGTTCTTATATTTCATGTTATGATACGTTCATTACGTTGGATCTTGGTTTTCTACTTTTGTAATGGTTTTTGTTTTGGGTTAGGGTTGTGCCTTCCAAGTTCTTTCTACAGCTTTCTTCTCCCAAGCAGAATATGTAGTTTTAGACATTGGATCTGGATGTTAAGTTAATGCATGCTTTGTTTCTTAGTTTTGCATTGTAGTTTGACATGTCATTTTGTTTTTTGCTTCAAGATTCTGCAAGTAGGTGTGTGATTTGCTTATATTAGGGAGTATTCTTGGATATCATATGAGTTAGACTCTTGCATAATTTTTATCTATTAACAACTAAAAAAGTAGTAATTTTTTTCTTTAATTACCTTAAATGGAACATGGATATTTGCACATTTCAGTGAATTAGACCCGTATTATACATGCCCAATAATTTTGTTATCTCACACAAATTTAGACGATTGAATGGCTTTAGGTTAATTGTAGAGTTTTCAACCAGAATATGTTTCTCTCCTCTACTGATTTTTCTATCTCATAGTAGTTTGGGTTCTTATAGTTGGTGATTTAATAAGTTGAATGGTTTCATTTTTGTTAGGATCATAATTGTCATCATCATTAACATCAAATTATATTCTCTCTTCACACATATCAGAGAGACCCCCAGGAGGGATGGTGCCCTGGAATCGGTTGGAACAGGCTCTGGCGAGACATCACTAAAAAAATCGGTGGAAAACGTGGCAAGCAACTTTGAACAATTCGTAAGTAGAACCTTGAGCGCACAAATTGGACAACAAAATCATGGAACATCCCTGGTAACTTTCTTTAATGTATATTTTATATATTTATTTGATCTAAATTTGCATTTTTAATAAAATTCAGTATTTATCTCCATGACTATGGAACATGGAAGAATTTCGGCATCGTTTGGCAATCAAGAATGAAGCAGAGGGTAGTCATTTTCAAATTACTTTTTCTTTAGTTTTTTGACATTCTATTTTAATTAAAAGAAGAGGAATTTAAAAATTTTAAAAATTTAAAAAAATTTAAAATCTTTATGTGTTGTAATTAATGATAGCCTTGGAAATAAAAAAAGTCCAACCTCTGACAAATTAGTTCTATTAATTGATTATATTTTTCATGTGATATTTGATGTTCTACAAACTCAATTAATAATCTTCTTGCATAAATATATAAGTACTTACATTTTGTTTTATATTCAATTCTAACCGTGATAATGCATCCTCTTCATTCTATATACTTCTTGGAGATGCACAACACCTTGATGGACACATAAGATGGCTAAACAAATCATGAAAATTGTAAGTTCGTGGGGCATAGCGGAAATCACCAATTAAGAACTATGCAAACAAACCAACCAACTATGCTACAGAGAAAACGCTGCAGCACTATCACAGTAACAGATGACGGACAGTGTGCTCTAACACTTCTCTGTCACAAGCACGCACACAGAAGCAGATGATGCAGAGGGTGTTACAGCGCCTACTGGTAGAATGCTGTAACTGCAAAAAGCGTAAAAAATAACACCAGATATGTTTACCTTTTCGGAGCAAATTCTCCTAATCTGCAGGGCCCACGTCCGTGTAATAGCCCTCCACTAAATCACTAGATGCAAGTTACACCGGTACATAACAACATGATGAGACACACTTCTCCGAATTGTTATGACAAAACTTCTAATCTAGGATTTCTAACTCGAACTCTGTTCAGATTTGCTTCGGCTATCACATCTCCACCGAGATCACGAGGACAAACGTGTTGGCAGCCCTCTCCTTAAGCTCTGGTTCATCTCCTGGTTGTCACGATCTGTTCGGCGTTGAAGATCTCCTCCTTCATGTAGATCGTAACCTTCTTCACGCTAGGGAAGCTCCAGGACGCGACGGGAACGCTCTACATCAGCGTATATTCGTTGTTTTCCCTCTCAATCGCTCCAAGTAATTCCCAGGGACCAGCTGCGTTTTTATAGACTCCTCTTAACACAATCCTAGTAGGAATATGATAGTAGAAGTTGGCTTGAACTCTACTTCCTTGATCTTGATCCATGAGTAGCCTAAAGAGTTGGGATTCCTTAGCATGTACAGCTGGAGTTATTATCATGTAATCACAATCCAATAGGTCTCTAATTCAGATTGCAGCTTAAAATCCCGTGCTCAGACCTCTGATCCCGCACACTGTGTTCCAGCATCGTGCTGTAGCATCTTCTGCGTCAACCTCGAAAACTGCAGCAGCTCTAGAAGTCTAAATAAAATAAACCTCTCCTAACAAATAGAGATTTCTACCTAGTAAAACATCTAACAAATATGGGATTCTATTTTGCCAAAAGATTAGCCAACACCATGGAACTAACAATCTCCCCCTTTGGCAATTTTTTGGCAAAATACATTGTGCACCATGCGCATAAAAGATTAAAGCATCTTTTAAGAACTAAGCCTTTTCTCCCCCTTTTTGACACAAAATATGCCAAATTTATTTAGGGTAAAAAAGAAAAGTAATACCAAGTTCTTTTAAGAGCATACAATAATCACAAGCGAAAAATAAAAATAAAATCTAACAATACGATCCATGCACGTACTTCCCATTTGAATCTGCTGGAGCTTCATCCTTTTCTGTAATTTACCCCCCCTCAAGATTTGCATCAACACCACATCTTGCTTCAAAAAGTGTGCTAACTCTTTAAGAGATCATCATGAATGTTTGCAACAAACCACCCAAAGATCAAGCTAATAAATTAAGCTTAACCGCTCTGATACCAATTGTAAGTTCGTGGGGGCATAGCGGAAATCACCAATTAAGAACTATGCAAGCAAACCAACCAACTATGCTACAGAGAAAACGCTGCAGCACTGTCACAGTAACAGATGACGGACAGTGTGCTCTAACACTTCTCTGTCACAAGCACGCACACAGAAGCAGATGATGCAGAGGGTGTTACAACGCCTACTAGGCTGAATGCTGTAACGGTAAAAAGCGTAAAAAATAACACCAGATATGTTTACGCAGTTCGGAGCAAATTCTCCTAATCTGCGGGGCCCACGTCCGTGTAATAGCCCTCCACTAAATCACTAGATGCAAGTTACACCGGTACATAACAACATGATGAGACACACTTCTCCGAATTGTTATGACAAAACTTCTAATCCAACTTCTATGTACTTCGAAACTTGAATATTCAAATACCAAATAATAGTTATTTTGGTACTCATTAGTATGCATTATATGAAAAAGTCACTAAGGGGGATGAAAGATTGAGCAGTTGTCTACTCGGTATGAATGATCTTTTTAATGGAATAAACTTCATTCCATAATGGTAGTTTTGCTACAAATTAAACTATCCTAAAAACAAATTGTAATTTATTTATTTCATGATATTTATGTGACTTAGTATGCAATTTTTTTTTGTTTTGTGATTCTATGACATTAATCTTTATACTTTGTATACACTTTTTTTCTATTTTGATGTTCTATGACATCAGTCTTCATACTCTATATGTTTTCATCTATCTTCTTTTTCTAATTTGATTGATCTTCAAGCAAGTGATCTCAACCACCCAACCATGATAAGTCTCACACACAAAAGGTTGCTATAATTCAAAACGCATCATGGCTCTAAGTTGTTCACTTTGATGTTATAATTTTTAGGCAAAATACTTACTTCTGTTGGAATAAAAATATCACTTTTTACAGATCATTTCAATTTCTTTATAGCTTTTGACTTTTGTTTAAAAATGCAGACAAGAGTGTACGTGCATAGAGATTGTGGCATGTGCTTAATAACTCTATTACGGAGTAGGGTGTAATATTTGTTCATACAATCTCAACCTAAGTGTAGTGGTTGTATACTAGCTGAAGTTTTTAGTGGAGAGCTCTTATTCCTTGGAAACAATATAATTCATCAGCTGGACTTAATAACAAACCTTTTTGGGGAACCTTTAATGGATACTATTCACGAGGATGCAGCTCTGCCTCACCATCTACAACTTAGTTCCGCAACAGCTTTTTAATATTAGTACTAATTATTGTAATTGTTGGTTCACATGAGGAATGACATGGTAGGAAAATCCCTCAATAATATGCAAAATAAATAGCCTTTGTCTTTTTACTCATAAATTTTTTAATTATGATCCCCTTCTTAAATACATTATAATTCTACTACAACCCCTCTTAAGAAACAATGTAATTCAAAAGACTAGCAAACCACAGGGAAGCCTTGCAAGTGAAACTATAGACAACCTAATGAAGTTCCTAGCGCAAAGTCTGCCAAGAACCTTGCAATCACAATAGAGGATATACCCAGGTATCCTCACTCTCTATCATTCCTGCCATATTTACATTGCTTTTGTTCTCTTTTGTTTTTAATGCATACAATTATGATCCTGTAGCAGCAAAGCTAAGATAAGTCTTGGCCCAAATATTGCCATGTGAGACTGGAAATATGGTCACGAATGCAGGGTGCAAAAATAGCACGAAAGACCCGATGCAAAACTGAAAATCACAAGCTAGGCTGTCTAATTCCTCTTCACACATGAAACATCAGATGCTTCACTGTGGAAGTGGGGACTCCTTGATTTAGCATATTAAGGATGCATTAGTGATGGGCAAATAGAGGGGAAGAGTACTTTATAGAGAAAAGCTTCTTTTGTTACTCAGACACTATTTGCTTATTATATCTCAGTTATGGGGATTACATGTTAGTGAAATTGAAATTCAAGATTCTTATTGTTTCATTCTTCTTTTCTTGATTCGTGCCCTATATGACTGTATCATCCTTCATAATAATTTGAAATGGTTGAACGAACATACTAAATTAGCTGAAATGCTTGAACGAATATACTAAAATGACAGTGCAATTGAGGCAACAAATATAATCCGTAGCATTGATATCATGAGCTAAGCAAAAACTGATTATGAAAATTGAAAGACTTTTTATACACTAACTTTTTGAACCCTAACTTGGAATATATTTTTTATATAAAAAAGGAATTAGTAAAACATACAATTTTAAATGCAGTGATTATAACGCGTGATAATTGTTTAAATAATATTGATTTTTATTATAGTTAATGCTCATGTGCTACATTTCAAATTTAATTTCGTATACCAAATAGAGTTTAAAATAATTTTCATTAGCACATGTTATCTATTATTTGTCACATAAGTTTTGGTGTCACTTTTAGATTACTTTTAATTTTTTAATCAGTAACATTAAAAGAAAAGTGCAGAATAAAAAATATTCGTTCGACCCCGTGCATGGCACGGGTCAAAAAACTATTTTGTATGTTCACTTCTAAATATTTTTTCTTGCATCATGAATACTTGAAATTTTTACATTTTAATTCTAAATATTTTTTTCATCAACAAAAATCTTTTTCATCTAGTTTTTCATTTTCAAAAATTTTAAACTCTATGAATTATCATGCAAACCATGGGGGTACTAATGCTATTTGGAACGTAACCAATGCCCCTTTCTTTGCCTGAAAGATGGACGGAAAATGATAAGAGAGGATATGGGTGCAACGTTGTGAAACCACGAGGACTTTATAAAATAATTTTGAAAACAAGGAGATTATTGATGCCTTTTTGCTAAACCATGGTGGTACTGGTGCTATTTGGCCATAGTTCTAGTTATGTATTTAAAACAAATCGATAAGGATTTTCTCACATTGTAGTTTAGTTTTCTCATATGTATGTAACAATTCAATCTCATATGTAGATGCAATATCTATTATAAATGATGCATATATCCATAAGAAAATTTTCAGTTAATGATTGAAAAAATTTACGGAAAGAATTAAGGTTAATAGGAGATAGAAACAGTTTATTTGTGAAAACCCCAAAAAGCCCACACTAAATGACATATGTAATCTACCCACTTGTGCAAGATCTAACGGTGAAGATCTATTCTTATTTCTTTCATTAGATTATATTCTTACCGGAACCAAAATCTATATATATATATATATATATATGGGGTAATTTTTATTGAATTTTAATAAAGGGTACAAGATTATCTAAAGCAATTACATAGGAAATAGTTCTAGGGAGAGCATCTAAATGATCAAAGGTAATAACATGGGAATGTCGTGCTCCATGTTTTGCAAGTAGATCAGCTGCGCCATTAGCTTCCCTGAGAGTGTGGGAGGTACGTAGATTGAGGATTTCGATCTTTTCCTTGATGAAAAGAAGAGCGTTTGACGTCGGGGTGCCTCTTAAATTCATAAGGAGCTCCAAACTGTCTGTTTCAACGACCATATTAGGGAGTCTGTAAACGTTGAGAGCATGCATCATCGCCAGAGTTCAAGATTGATTTGAACACATTTTATCTTATTTCACTTTATAAACAAAAAAGACATAAGACTTACATCATTTTTGTTCAAATCCATCTTCCACGTATTCAAATTCCCCTTGAAAGTTTCCAATTGCCTCATGGCTATGACACCCACACACATACCTTCCATGTTCCCATAACATACCTTCTTTGTTATTTCAAAAGGAAATTTGAAAATTTTACTTGATTTTTGCTCAAGATTTTTTTCATTGAAATACTGACACATTCCCTTTTTCTGCAAGTCAGTGAGACTTATATTAGATTAAGTTGAAGAATAAACAATGAAGTTCAAGCTTAAGTCAGTATTACCACGCTTTAAAAAGGATCTTACCAAACATTCAACACATGTATCATACATCTTACTTTTATCTTCAATCAAATCAAGGATGGTTATCTTCTCCTTTTTCATGTTAAAACACACTATATAAACATCATCCTTGTCTCTTTCATGAGCAACCAAGAAGAATACCTGCGGTAAAATAAGAACAGAAATGATATCGGAATAAATGAATACATTAGATACAAAACACTAAAAACAAACAATTCCATGTAGCTGACCAAATCTGCAGTACTCATATCAATGCTGCTATAAAACTGTTGTTCTACTAATTCTCTGTCAGCGACTTCATAAACGTTTTCACAAACTTTCCAAACTCAGCCTACATGAATAATGTAAATTTTATGTCAGTGTCACATTTGAAATTTCATGCTAAATATCTCCACTTTTATACACAAAAGTACATTAATAATGTAAAGAGGTTACATACAAAAGGATTCGCGCTAAGGAAAATTCGATAGACATCTGACTTGCTTCGATGCTTTTCCTCGGCATTCAAGAATCGACACCAAATCTGTAAAATAAGAGACGAGACACACCCTTCGGAAAAGGATATTAAATCGCTTCGCTTCATTTCACAAAACATGTCTTTGTACAAAACTTCCCTGTAATTAAAATTATGGAAAATAGGATAAATAAATATCAAAACAATCTTAATGATAATAATTAAATTTAGTAATTTTTTATGTGAAAAGGTAACACTGACCCAAGTTCAAGAGATTTGTTGAATACGTAGTCTGTGAGAACCTTCTTGGCACGGCTCGACCGTGAGAGTGCTTGCATGTTTCTTATCCAAAAAGGAGAACATAAGGCGCGTGCAAATTCTTTCTTCCTTTGGGGCTGAAATCGTCTTTTAATTAATACAGGACTTCGAACAGGGCTAGGACCGGATGCAATTTCTTGACTAGTAAAGTGAGTATATGGTGGGGTTGGCTGAAAAAGATAAGTTTCTTCTTGTTGCCCTTGAACTACACTCTCTGGGAAAGGTTCAATTTGGGGATGACTCTGTACATCATCTCCCAATTCTGTGAGATTGCATGTTTGGGCTGCGCCATCTCCATTCTTAGTTTGAATCTCCTCATGCTGAATCTCTTCATGTTGAATCTCTGCATTTTGAATTTCCTTTTCCTCTGGTGTAAGCCCTAAGCTAAATGATGGCATAGACAAGTCTTTGCTGTTGGTCTCAAGGTTATGCTTCACCGAGAAAAATTCCATTTCAAGTCGAGATATTTAAGCCAAGAAAGAAGGGCTCTCGTGGACTACTTCGAATTGCAGTTTCGCATTTGTTTCCAAAATCGGAGTACCTGATATTCTTGGACTTTTACCAACAGCAACAATCACTTCTGCAGCAGTTTGTTGCATTCTCTTGACGGCATTTGAATTTGGGAACTCACTATTCAAGCCTCTACAGATGGTGTCCCACTTTGATATTTTTTGCACCAACTCTTTTGTAGCAGTCCGTGCCTCATCTAAAACGTTGTTCTAAAACAGGTTTTTAAAAAAGAAAAAAGTGTGTCAAGTTACTTTGACATTCAATGCTTCAATTTCAAATTATCCACTCAAAGTCAAACCAAATAAATATGAAAAAGAAACAAGAGCATGATCACCTCATTCATCCAAGCAAGGAGTTAATTTAGGAGACTAAGAGGTTGATTGAATAATCATAGAGTGTGTTTGCGTAAAAATGGATTGGATGGCAGGTAGTGAACTGAAATGTAAAATGAAATTATAGAATAAAAAAAACAAAGCACTAGTGTAGGCAGGGATTTTTGTCATTGCTGGTGTGAAATCTATGACACTAAATGATGAAGGAACGGTGGAGTTGTGGTATTTTTCAATCGATTTACATTCAAAAATAAAATGTGTCCTTAATTGAACACAAAGAAAACTGATGTGTGTGTCATACAATTACCTGTGATGGTGATGTTTTACCAGGAGGATCTTCAAGAGACAGGTTTTCATTTGAAAACAACTCTTTATTGATTTGTGGGTCCATGCTACCACAGCCAAAACCACCTATTTACAGTATTATTCAGTCACGTTTAACTTAAAAAAGCATAAACCGCCTAAAAATAAGTTGCACTAACCTGATTCCCGCTCCAATCCTTCTCTTTCCTTAAGCTTCTGGGAAGTCCAACCTAGCATAGTTGGAAAAGTTCTAGGCACTACTCTCATCCAGAAGACAACCCTATCAACATAAAACATCTAAAAAGAGAAAAAATCAGTATAACACAAACGACTCTGTAAAATATAAAATGCAAACTAGTGTGTTGGAACTTATAAAGTTTTATGTTAAGGAAAATGAATACATACCATTAAGAACAAAACAGCCCAGTAAAATAAGGATTCGACTTTTGCTTCCATTGAATGGTAGAATTAATTAAACTCGTCAAGGTATACTTGCACCAGTTTAATTTATTCATGTTACTGAAATCGACTAAGGAGCGCAACACCCTTGAATTTGCAAATGTATTCGTGTTCCAGATATGCAGGTAGAGATGAAGAAAACCATAAAATTGAGCTTAAAGCCTTCACTTGACCCCGCCATTCCTAAAATTCTATCGGGCATAGCATTGGTACGTGGAAAATCCCTCTTTAAACCCCACTTATCTCTCCACTTAAGGACCAAAGTCTTATAATGCTCAGGGTCTGTTGGCTTGTATTGTGCTTCTAGCACATCAAATGGTCCGGTCGGGAGGCCAAGGGTTAGATGGACATCCTTTTCTATGATTCTAACCCGCTCATTTAAAAGATTAAGTGAACAGCTATCTCGGTCAAAGTTTTGAACAAGCCATTTTGAAAGCTTTACCGGTAGAACTGACGCCTCAAGACTAAAAAGGGAATGAAAACCCAACTCTTCAACAGCTTTTTTTTGCTCACTATTTAACCTCTGCAAAAGGTTAAAAAGGCCGTTCGGAGACATACGAGTCTTATAATCTTTGTCATCAACTATACTTATTAAAATAGTCGCAACATCTCGTTTTGGCCTATTAATGATTGTATCGGGAACAAGGGCAGTGGGTGACTGTTCTAAACATAAAAGACATGGACTTTTCCTAAGAACTCTGGAAGTTGATGGAGCTACAGGTGTGCAAAGTTCAGCACTGTGCTCTTCCAAAGCAAAATCAGCTTGTTTCCTTAAAAAAACAAGAACACAAAAAACATAAGTTTAAAATTTTAGGTTAATAAATTTAATGTAATGTCTGTTTGAGAAAGATAAGAACCAACCTTTTTTCCATGATTTTTTTTTCTACCTTCAACTTCCATGCTTTCAGAAGGTATTAAATTACCTAGAAAATAAGGTCACTCAATGAAAAGTCCAGAATACAAAATCACTCATATTTTCTCTAAGCCTAACAACACAAAACACTAGTACACAAAAGGGCAAAGGCACCGGTTGTTTTATACCTTTAGCATCGGTTTTGTACCGATGTAAATACAAGCGATGCAATTGGTCCAATTCAATTGCATTGCTTTGGAAACAACTGATGCCTTTGCTATTTTATTAATTTAAAAAAAAGAGTATTAGCATCGGTTGTTTCTAAACAACCGATGCCTTTGCTATTTTATTAATTTAGCTCCACCACAAGCCCATTGGATAAAAATATCCAAATCCATCATCTTTTTCAACGTCACCCTACTGTCATCCCTATAGGGCATCTACATTAGTATCCTCATCATCAAATTCAACAATATAAAAATCAATTTTGGATTGGATGAATGACTACATTTCACTTAGCACATCTACAAAATCTAGGCTTATAAAAACATTTTGCACCCAGTAACTATATACTTAAATAAAAGATGTAAAAGCATAAGAAAGTTCGTTTGAGATGTGCAATAACCAAGAAAAAAATAAGCTTTATGACATACCACAATGTTTTCTTTGCATTTTGCAGAAGGTTTTCTTCATCAATTACTTGAAAGAAAATGCCAAACAAAATTTATATCTCTAAATTTGAAATGAAAAGGAATTTGAAACTGACAAGAATGTGCTGTCTGAAAGGTAACCATGCAAGGATAGGCAGCAGAATATAAAAATTTTAACATCCTAACATGATTATCTTGCCCAGAATCACGTACTAAAACATATAGTAGTAAGAAATTTATACCTTTCTCCGTAAGCGGTTAAAACGGTAGGAAGAGCGTTGAAAGTGCAAACGTAACCGTTCAAGCGTCCGGTCTCCAACTTTGACACACGAACAACGCCGGAGTCTACCACAATCTTTATGCTAGTAAAGATTATAGTAGTATAAAATATAAAGATTAAAATTTGGGATAATAATAATCTTGTATATTTCTATAGAAAATATTTCTAATAATATTTAGAAAATATTATAGATATTTTCTATACATAAAATGATATTAATGGAACCAAACTAATATTTCTTCTCTCTAGAAAAATATGGCCGAATGACACACTAATGAAAATGATAATCTTCACCCCTTATTTTATTTCAAAGTGCCGTGTAACCTTTTAAAAAGAAAACAAAAGATTCAAAATGATTAATCAAACTATTTTGTCATTAGCTAAATGACAAAATTAACTAGCCACTTAATTAGCAATCAAGGAAAGTTTGACTC